TCATCATCATCGTCGTGACCGTGATCGTGATCGTCACCCCCATTTCGGCACACCCCTCACACGCATCGTGGCCCCATAAAGAGCTCCACCCAAGGCCCCAGTGGCACCGTTCGCATGTGGGCGTCACCCCCTTTGCGGCACAACCCTCACACGTTTCGTGGCCCCATAGGGAGCTCCAGCTAAGGCCCAAAGGCACCGTTCGCATGTTGGCGTCACCCCCGTTTCGGCACACCCCCGTTTCGGCACTCCCCGTTTCGCACGTGGGCGTCACCCCCGTTTCGGCACTCCCCTTACACGCTTCGAGGCCCTATGGGAGCTCCACCTGCGGCCCCAATGACACCGTTCGCATGTGGGCGTCACCTGTGTTTCGGCACACCCCGAACACGCTTCGTGGCCCCATAGGGAGCTCCAACTAAAGCCACAATGGCACCGTTCGCATGTGGGCGTCACCCCCGTGTCGGCACACCCCTCACACGTTTCGTGGCCCCATAGGGAGCTCCAACTAAGGCCCAAATGGCACCGTTCGCACGTGGGCGTCACCACCGTTTCGGCACTCCCCTCACACGCTTTGAGGCCCTATGGGAGCTCCACCTACGGCCCCAATGGCATCGTTCGCACGTGGGCGTCACCTGTGTTTCGGCACACCCCGAACACGTTTCGTGGGCCCCTAGGGAACTCCAACTAAGGCGCCAAAAGCACCGTTCGCATGTGGGCGTTACCTGTGTTTCGGAACACCAAGAACACATTTCGTGGCCCCATAGGGAACTCCAACTAAAACCCCAATGGCACCGTTCGCATGTGGGCGTCACCCCCGTGTCGGCACACCCCTCACACGTTTCGTGGCCCCATAGGGAGCTCCAGCTAAGGCCCAAGTGGCACCGTTCGCACGTGGGCGTCACGCTTTGAGGCCCTATGGGAGCTCCACCTACGGCCCCAGTGGCACCGTTCGCACGTGGGCGTCACCCCCGTTTCGGCACTCCCCTCACACGTTTCGTGGGCCCCTAGGGAACTCCAACTAAGGCCCCAATGGCACCGCTCGCATGTGGGCGTCACCTGTGTGTCGGCACACCCCTCACACGTTTCGTGGCCCCATAAGGAACTCCAACTAAAACCTCAATGGCACCGTTCGCATGTGGGCGTCACCCCCTTTGCGGCACAACCCTCACACGTTTCGTGGCCCCATAGGGAGCTCCAGCTAAGGCCCAAGGGCACCGTTCGCGTGTGGTCGTCACCCCCGTTTCGGCACACTCCTCACACGTTTCGTGGGCCCCTAGGGAACTCCAACTAAAGCCCCAATGGCACCGTACGCATGTGGGTGGCACCCGTGTTTCGGCACACCCTGAACACGTTTCGTGGCCCCATAGGGAACTGCAGCTAAGGACCCAATGGCACCGTTCGCATGTGGGTGTCACCCGTGTTTCGGCACACCCCTCACACGTTTCGTGGCCCCATAGGGAGCTCCAGCTAAGGCCCAAGTGGCACCGTTCGCAAGTGGGCGTCACCACCGTTTCGGCACTCCCTTTACACGCTTCGAGGCCCTATGGGAGCTCCACCTACGGCCCCAGTGGCACCGTTCGCATGTGGGCGTCACCTGTGTTTCGGCACACCCCGAACACGTTTCGTGGCCCCATAAAGAGCTCCACCTGCAGCCCCAATGGCACCGTTCGCACGTCGGCGTCACCCCCGTGTCGGCACACCCGAACACGTTTCGTGGCCCCATGGGGACCTCCAGCTAAGGCCCAAATGGCACCGTTCGCATGTGGGCGTCACACCCGTTTCTGCACTCCCCTTACACGCTTCGAGGCCCCATAGGGAGCTCCATCTAAGGCCCCAGTGGCACCGTTCGCATGTGGGCGTCACCTGTGTTTCGGCACACCCAGAACACGTTTCGTGGGCCCCTAGGGAACTCCAGCTAAGGCCCCAATGGCGCCGTTCGCATGTGGGCGTCACCTGTGTTTCGGCACACCCCGAACACGTTTCGTGACTCCATAGGGAGCTCCAGCTAAGGCCACAGTGGCACCGTTCGCATGTGGGCGTCACCCCCGTTTCGGTACATTCCTCACACGTTTTGTGGCCCCATATGGAGCTCCAGCTAAAGCCCAAGTGGCACCAATCGCATCTGGGTGACACTCCCGTTTCGTCACTCCCGTTTCGTGGCCAGACAAGGAGCTCCACCTAAGGCCCAGTGGCGCAGCCCGCATGTGGGCGACTCCCCCTTTTTCCGGCACACCCCTCACATGTTTCGTGGCCCCACAGGGAGCTCCACCTAGGGTACCAGTGGCGCAGCCCGCATTTGGGCGACACTCCCATTTCGGCACAGCCCATATAATTTTCGTGGCTCCACAGGGAGCTGAATCGAAGGCCCTAGCGGCACAGCCCGCATGCAAGCGTTGCCCCGTAAGGAGTTCACCTCGGATCGCACTCACAATTCCGGTACTCAAAACTGCATATGGTTGGGTTCTTTACCATGCTATTCTTCTTTGGGGAAACATGGTTTGGGTTATGCTGACGGTAGGTTTCTTTACACATCCACGGGTATATACAGATGTTGTCATGGGCGCGCGTGTGGTCCGAACGGTATGATTTGAGATGGATGCTGGGATAGCAGCGAACGTCGAAGAACATTGTTTTGAAGCGGCAAGTGGTCATGGATGGGTCCAGGGTGAGGCTTTGGATGGGCACACGCGGTGTCTATGACTCAAGCGAGTGCGCGCACAAGCACATGATTTTTTTTTTTTTGAAATAAGCAGATGTGGTTTGACAGCTTTTGTTGCTCTGCTTTGAGCGCCCATCTTTTCTACGGATTTGGCACAGGCACGCGGGCGTGGCAGCCGCATGGTTGTGCTGACACTTGCTCGCTGGCAGTGCACTTGTGTAAGACCAAGGCGTGCGCTCCGCATGGTGTTATCTGACAGGGACGCAGGGGGTCGATACGGGGACTGGTTGTAACGACACGAGCTTGCACTTCGGGGGGGATATGTTGTAGCATCTGTATGCGAAGGTGGGCCGGTACGTCCGGCATCGGCCTTGGGGTACATTTCCCGAACGGTGCTTGCACTTAATGGTTCCTACTTGCCTTCTAAGGAAATGGGCCCGCTTGCCGCCTCGGCGGTCCCTTTCTCGTCCGTCGCCGCACCATCTTCCAAATTAATAACCCGTTTGCCGCCTCCGCCGCCGCCGTCCCGTTGCACGCCCCTCCCCTAGCATATCGCAATCGCATTGCGTTGCAATCGCAGTGCGTTCCATTGCGATCGCGTTGATTTGCGCTGCTTCACGCCAAGTAGATTGCACCACATGGGCTGCACCACCTAGACTGCGCCGCCTGAATCAATTCTCTTCTCTACAAGCCGAATCGACTCTACCCCCGCACCCCCGGGATTATCGGCACCCGCTTTCGTATGGCAATTTGCATATGATTCTGCCCCATCGCCCATCCGACGCATGAGTTCATACCATCCCAACCCAGCTGGTATCGGCCCCCCGCCATCCTCTGCAACAAATGCTATGCGCGCGCGCTCGTTGAACAATCAACAGTTTCCGAGGATTTCTCGCAACAGAACGGGACTAAGTGCACACGCGCGCGTCGTCGCGCGCGCATGCCGAAATCCTTCAAAAGCTGTTGGTGTCGTGAGTATTTCACAATCGAGTGTCCAAACACATATACAAAACACCTGGTTTCGCAACGCTGGGTTTCAAAACGACATGTGCGCGCGCTCTTGCGAATTCTGAAACAAGCCCTCGTTCTCTTTCTTTCTAAACATGATCATAACATGCTACCAAACGGGCTCCACGCGCGCGCATGTCGAAATCGTTCGCACGCCCTTGCGCGCGTGCCGTCGCAAACATATTTTGCAACAAAGCGGGGCGACGTGCACGCGCGCGCGTGTTCGCGCGTGCATGCCGGAATCAATCAAGGACCTTCGGTATCGTAGCGATCTCAAAACCGAGTGTCCCAACAACATACAACAACATGTGGCTTCGCAACATGAATTGTCCAAAAGAACATGCGCTCGCGCTCTCGCGAATTCTTGAAAACACCGTGAGTTGTTTTCAACATGTTCATACCATTCTGTCAAGCGGGCCTCTCACGTCGCATGCCGACATCATTCGCACGCCCTTGCGCGCGTGCTGGGGGGGGGGGCACGATCCGTCTCAAATAATACCATGCGGGCCACTCTCGCGCGTCGGCCGCGCGCACATGTCGAACTATTTCCCAAACCTTCATCACCGACGCGAAGACGCCGTCATCGTCGTCGGCGTGATCAGCATCAACGCCCGCACTGGCCGCGTCTCTGTCGCTGTGAACATCGTCACCAACATCGCAACTACCATCATCGTGTCTACCGCTGTCGACGTTGCCATGATACCGCGCCCGCCCACGTCGCCGAGTCGCAGTGAAGTGCCCGCTGAGATGTGCCCAGCATTCAGCGCCACCGCGGCCGCGTCAGTCGCGCCAAATTTGTTGGCCGCTGCGCGCACGTGCTTAGGTTGGCGCGGCCGCAGAGATGCACCAGCCAACGCCAAGCATGCATCGCAATCGCCACCGCATGGGTTTTGCAAACCAGGTTGCGGGTGGGTGGGTGGGATGCTTTGCAAGAGCATGGGATGTGTCAACTCGTTTGTCAAAATCAACAGCGCCTCCTAGCTTGATTGCACCTCGTCGATTGCAAGAAATGGCTATTCTGGGGCCCGCGCTGGCTAACAGCCCGTTCTGCCTTCGAAAACTACGTGGTGCAATCGAAACGCTGGCCAGAGCACGGTGCGTCCACGAAGCTGCCACGAGTGGCCAGGCCCGGGCGCGCAGGCCGCTGCGACCGCTCCGATACCTGCGATCAAAGAGCCCAATGGGGCCCGCACCAAAGCGAAGGGGCCCCAGGACACACAAATAAATACACACAAATAAAATGATTTCCCATATTTTCTCATATTTTCTTGGTTTTTGTCTTCCAACCCATTTCCCATATTTTCCCATATTTTCCTGGGAATCGACGGTTAATTTTGTCTGTGTGTTTTTTCCCCTCCTGACAAAGGTCACTATGACGAAACGTCACTCCTACGTGCAGTCGAAAGCCTTGTCACTGGGAAGAAACTTCGGCGGTCCGGGCAGATCCTTTCCCACGCTTCTTCCCCGGCGCGCTCCGCGCGCCAGGCGGCGGCAGAGGCGCCGCCAGGGGTGCGGCGATGATGGTCTCGCGCCGACTGGCATGCTTGCGGACTCACGTCTGTACGTGTTTCTGCAATTGTGGCTCTTCTGGACCCCCCCCCAGACTTCCGATGGATGGACTTTTCAACCCGCGGGCCCCCGAGATCTGAGCCGCTTCCCCCGGTGTGTGTGTGTGTGTGTGTGTTTCGTCCTGAAGTCTTTTTGATCTTCCCGCGTCCCGCAGAATGGCCCCTGGAAACCGACATGGAGGAATAGCGACAGGGTAGGAAACGTCAGTCCGCCCAATGTCTGGGCCATGCAGTGCCGCCGCGGCCGCAAGAAAGCCGCCCAGAGAATCCCCATCCTGAAACTCCGAGGGCGAGGTGCCACTCGGGAGAAATCCAGAGCACCCTGCACAGACGCCGCCGTTTCTCACCGCCCGCGGGACGTCACCGCGCAGTGCGCGAAGTGAAGAAGCCTGAGGTGCCCTGACGAGCATCATCTGGTCTCTTGATTCGGGGGCGCGCAAACATGGATTAGCGATCCATGGATTTGGCGCGCGGCCGCCAAATCCATGGATCGGGGGAGGTGCCCTCTCCAAAATGCGGCCGGCGCCGCCTCGCTCGGCGGCGGAACTCCGCGATCTCCCATAGGAGCGGGACCCGTCGCTGATCCACGCCCCCTTGATCCATGTTTGCGATCGCCTGACCCAGGGCGCGGCCTCGCATGACCACGGTCTCGGCAGCCGAAACTGGCGGCGCGATCAACGAGTGGGTAGGGGGAGGGGGGACGGCTTCTCCGAAGGAGGCTGCTTCTTTAGAAGGCGCCGGCCCTACATCTGTAGATGAGGCCCGCGCCTCCTGAGGAGCAGGGGTGCTCTTAAGAAGCCTTCCCGCCTCCCCCAGTACCCCCCTCTGCGCGTACGCCCCCTTGATCCATGTTTGCGATAGCTAGATGAATTGGCGTCCTCGCTGTGTGGGTGTTGCCAGAAGTGCCTCTGGCCCAAGGTGCCCTCCAGGACTTCCAGGGATGCCCCCACGGCCTGCGTGGCACCCCTCACATGGAAACGGGACCCGTCGCGAATCCACGACCCCTTGATCCATGTTTGCGATGAATGGGCGTCCTCGCTGTGCGGGTGTTGCCAGAAGTGCCTCTGGCCCAAGAGGCCCCCCCAGGATTTTTCCGAGGATGCCCCCCCCACGGCCTCCGTGGCACCCCCCACGAGGCCCGAAGGGGGCCCCATGGGGCCCAGGTTGAGCGAAACGCTGGGGACCCCTTGAGCCAGGACCAATTCTATACAGGGATAAGTGGGCGTTTTTTATTCAGCGTTTGGACATTGGGCTGAAAGGGGAGGGGGCAGGGGGGAGGTCTGGCTCAAGACCTTGGCTTAGTTCGTCTGTTTGCAAGAGTGCTGCCTCTGTCGAACACTCCACCCCCTCGAATCAGGCGCCCAAAACAATCAAGCTCTACTCTATGGACGGAGGGGGAGGGGGGGTGCGAGGGCCCGCGCCGATCGGCAAAACAATACATAGAAAATGATCACTAAACGACGGCATAAACTTAGACTTTCGGATGTCCGCGCAAATTTGCTGGATCGGCGCTGGGCCCCCCTCCCTGGCGTGCGGTGCGCGACAAGGGCGGCGCCGGAGGCGCCGCCAGGGGGTCCCCAGCGCAGATCCAAGAAACCCGCGCGGAACTCCAGAAGTCTATGTTTATGTAGTTTTTCCTTCTTCGGTTCTAGCCTCCCAGATGGCGTCCGAGCAGATGCGGTCGGAGGATCGCGCCGCATCGCCAATGCATCGGGGATGCCGCTCGACTTGGAGCCCGATTCTCTGCACACCAAGGTGGCCGATGCATCGCCGATGCATCGGCGAGGCATCAGCGGTGCGGTGCGGCCCTTCGACCACCTCCACTCGGACCCCACTTGAGCGACGAGCAAACACGGGCCTCACGTGAGATGGCATGGCGACCTCACGCGGCGGCTTGCGCGGGCCGCCAGCGCGGGACGCCACGCTGAGAGCGAAGGCGCTCGTTCGCGACCTGGCGCGGGCGGCTTGCGCGCGAACGTCGGCGAAGACGGCTCCGTTTCTGCTGCGTCGCTCCTCTGGGAGGCCTGGGGAGGTGGGCCAGGAGCACCTCGACGGCAGTGCCCGAACCACCGTGGTGGCCTCGCCCTTTTTTGGGACAGGGGTCCGTCCGTCCCCGCACTCCTATAGGCCTATGCCAGGGCGTGCTCGCAGGGCGCAAGGACTGTGCCAAGACCAGACCGCGCTGCTCGCCAGCGCTCGGACGTCCATGCCCCGTGCATATCTTGCTCGGCTTTGCGCGGTTAGTGTTCGCGCGAGGGTCCAAGATGCTCCTCGATGGTCCTCGCCGGGGAAAGATGCACACGTCCGAGAGATGCCGAGGCTGCTCTGAAGACGAAGAGCCGACGTGCACAGCGAAGACGATCTCAGCCAGACGTGTTCTGATAACACTTCGTGCAAACCACCAAAAGAAGCTTCTAGAACACTCTCTGGTGGGCTCTCCCTTCTGACCAGGGACCAACCGTATCCGCATTCCTATAGGCCCACTACGACATGCTCGTAGAACGCAATGATGTTCTAAGAACATGCGCGCGTTCGCAAAACGTCGAGCCGATGTGTAAAACGAGGGCGATCTCTGCCAGAAGTGTACGAAGAACTTCGTGCAAACCACAAAAGTGCTCTTATAACACCCCCTGTTGGGCTTCCACTGCCCGAGGCCCTTGGCGCCAGCGTCGGCGTCAGCTTGCGCGCGACCTTGCGCGGGCAGCTTGTGCGCCAACGTCGGCGCAGAGGACCCCACTGTGTTGCGTCGCCCGAACGTTCAGAAAACAGCCCGTGCAAACCACCAAAAAGGCTATTACAATGGAGGCCAGTCCACAGGACACCTTCCGCAAGAAACCCAACCCTGAGACCCCAGGACGTCCGCTGATCTGTGGTGTGGGAGCCTCACGCTTCCATGGCAGAACCGTCGAAACCCAAGCACACCCCGAGGCACCCTGGAGGCAAGCCGGGCGCTTCTTGGCATGGGCCTCCACTGCAGAACACCCCCTGGTTTGGGGGGCGGAAAGATACGGGTACGTGTTGTCCCCGGACCTCTCTTGGGGTGCGCTCTGACCAGAATTTCGAGGCGAATCCAGCGGTGACAACGAGGATTCCCCAGGAGGACCAGGAAAGGCCGAAAACGAAGGGGGACGACACGTATCCGTATCTTTTTCTCCCCCGACTGGTGGGCCTCATATGGGCAGCGCCTCGCCGCTGCCCGAGGCCCTTGGCGCCGCCCGCCTGCCCAGCAGCGGCGCTGGAGCACCGCGAGGCCCGGCGCGCGCGCGTGCGCGGCCCGCGGCCGTCGCGCGGCGCACGGGCCGCGGGCGCCCGGCGGCCGCCGCCGAGGGGCCCCGCCGGCGAGCCTCGACGATGCCGCGCGCGTGGCGGACCCTCGGCGCCGTCGCTCGGTGTCCCCAAGCGCCCGAAGCAGGCCTCAGGATTCCCGAGGGGCCCCGGGGGATTCCTCAGGATCCCCGAGGGCCCCGACGGGATCTCCTCCGGGTGCCTCAGGATCCCTCAGGATTCGCACCGGTCTCCCAAAAACCCTCAGGATTCCTCAGGATTTGCCTTGATCCCTTGGATTCGTGAAACCTCCAGTGGATGGACAATATATTCCAACCCTCACACATTCGAGGGAGATTCTAAATCACCCCCGCGCCCCCGACATCAATGTTGATCTCAGCAAAGGCGGTGCTTTGGGGTTCGAATATTTCTGTCCACTCACGCCCCCCCCCGTCGCCACGCCATCCATGTGAAATTCGGGGGTTCGGGGGGGCGCCTTGGGCCACAGGGTTCGAATATCATGTCCATGTATACGGTCCCAATGATTTCCTTTTCGGCCTCGTGGGGGCTCTTCAAGATCCGGGAAGACTCCGACGGTCTCCTACGACAAGCTCAGGCCCTCCCGCCGCAGCTCGAAGATCGATGCTCGACGATGAGAGGCCTTGGACGTCGTGAAGCTCTCTCGGACCTCCGGGGAGAGCGCACTCGTCGCCACGGCTGGGCCCGCCCGGGACCCTCTGCCAAAACGCGCCCCAAGGGGGAGGGGGAGGAGGAGGAGGAGGAGGAGGAGGAAAAGGAGGAGGAGGAGGAGGAGGAGGAGGAGGAAAAGGAGGAGGAGGAAAAGGAGGAGGAGGAGGAGGAGGAGGAGGAAAAGGAGGAGGAGGAGGCTTCCGTGCAAAAAGACAACATGCTGACGAATTCCCAACGGGTGCGTGCCATTGATAATTACTCCTTCCCCCTCCCGAGACATCACAAACGGAGCCCTGGACCGGCTCGCTGCGGCTGCGCGTCTTCGCGTGCCGTTGGCTCCGTCTGCTGCGAGGCTCTGCGCTTCGGCGTGGCCGCGGACACCTTGGAGGTGGGTGGCGGCTTGTGTTCCTCGAGGAGCGCAGACTCGAGCCCTCAGAACACGATGGAGACGCAGCCTCACTGAGGTCCCCGTATGGATTAGGAAGTTGGGCCGCCTGGTTCGATGCATCCGCCGAGCCCGACCGATCCGTGAGGGCCCCGGGGCCCGCAGCGAGGCAGCACCGCCGGCCGCCGAGCCGTGGCGGCGCCGGGAAGGCAGTGGGTGGCCCGCGCTCCGCCGGCCGGGCCCCTGGCCCTATACGGGGCCCGGAGGAGCGGAGCCTCTCCGGAGGACCCCCCGCGCCTGGCCTCGGACTCGAGGCCCCGACACCGTGCGGCGAGGGGCCGCGGCGCTGGCGGGCCCTCGGGGGCCCCCGTTGCCTGAGACGTCCTCGGAGAACGACCTGGGTCGCGGAACGGTGCGGCAATCCAGAGCCCCCACCGTCCCCCCCTGAGATCCGACGCTGCAACAGCGATGCGGCATCGCAGACAAGCGCGACTGGAGCCCCCGACCCCTTCCTTCGGCGCCCTCTTCCGAGCCCCCATCGGCCCGTGAGGCCGCCCCCCCCCCGTGCCCGAGAACCCGGGCGAAGGCGCGCCCGCCGTGCAAGAGCTGCGTCGCCAGGGGGCTGAAGCCCACCACGCGGCACGGTCGCCACGCCGCGCGAGGGCCCCTCCCCCCGAGCAGAGCCGCGCGCGGCCCGCGCGGCCCGGGCGCCGCCCGAGGCCGCGGCGGGGCGGCCGAGGCGGCCCCGCACCTCGCCGCTGTGGGCGGCGGCCGAGGGCGGCCCCGCCCCTCGCCGCTGTGGGCGGGGGGGGGCGGCGGCCGCCGGCGGGAAGGGCCCCGCGCCGCCCTCAGATGGAGCACGTCCGGCAGCGCGTCTCGAGGGCGTCGCGGCGGACGGGGGTGGCGTCGGGCTCCTCCACGGCGGGCGCCCGCAGGGGCTGCGTGCAGGCAGCGGTCCCCGAGGTGCGCCCTCTTCCCTCCCTTCCCCCCCCCCTCCCCCGGCGAGGGCCCCTTCTGTGCGCGCTCTCTCCCGCTGCCGGGCGCTCCCCCTTCCTTCCTTTTTTGTTACTCTCCTTCCTTCCCTCCTTCCTTATTCCCCTCCCCCCCTCCACTCCTTCCCCCCCTCCTTCCTTCCCTTTTTGTTCTCCTGCTCCTCCTCCTCCTCCTCCTGCTCCTGCTTCTCCTCCTCCTCCTCCTCCTCCTCCTCCTCCTCCTCCTCCTCCTCCTCTCCCTCCTCCTCTCCCGCTGCCGGGCGCTCTTCCTCGGTGCACGCCGTTCCCCAGGGGGGGACGCCACGCGCGAGAAGCGGGCGGGCGGCGCCACGTCGCACGGTAATTATCTCTGCAACGCCAAGCCGCAAGGCGAAACCAGGGCAGGAACAACACTGGCCCAACACACATCGGAGGTCTCTGAGATCCGGCGGTCCTGGAGGATACGTATATCGGTATATATATATATATATATATATGTACACGACTGCATTGGCGCTTCGCGCCATGCACCTTAGTCCTTGAGGCTTTGCATCTGTTGGTTTGGTCGTTCGCGCCATCCCTAGCGGCCTTGGGAAATTGGCCCCTTCCCTGCGGTGGTTTTCCGAAGTCTTCGAAAATTCGGGCGGTCCCTTGCCCTCCCCGGGCCTCTGGGGGCTCCCGAAAGGCGCCGGGTGGAGGGCAAAGGATACGTAGGAGGGAGGGAATCTCGGAGAGCGAGGAAAGGAACTTGATGTGGGGGAGGACGAATGGTGGAGCGGCAGAAAGAGGAGGGCGCCGTCGGGGGACGGCGAGGGATGTTGCAGCGGGTTGCAGCGGGTCGCAACGGGGCGATACTGGAGGCCTTTTTGGTTGTTTTGGACGCTGCTAAGACCCGAACAGCGAATGCACTGAACATGTACGTTTCCCGAACGGAATGAAGCGATGTTTGCGTTCTGGGAGGCCTGTTGAGGGCCTTTGGGCCGTCTTGGGAGCCTCTGGAGGCCCTCTGGGTCCTTCTCGGAGCGCTCTTGTGCTGTCTTGGGTCTTTTTCGGCATCTCTGATCACCGCTTTGATCGCTTCTCTTTTTGGCTCATGTGTGGACTCCTTGGGCAGTCTTGGGGCCGTCCAGGCCGTCTAGAAGCTCTCTTGGGAATCTCTTGGACCGTCTTGGGGCGATGCCGGAGGCCGTTTTGGCTGTTTTGCACGCTGCTGCGACCCGAACAGCGACTGTGCTGAAAATGTATGTTTCCCGAACGGAATGAAGCGATTTCTTCGTTCTGGGAGCCCTGTTGAGGGCTTCCTGGGCCGTCTTGGGGGCCTCTGGAAGCCCTCTGGGTCCTTCTTGGAGTCGCCTTGTGTCTAGGATCTTTCTTCGGCCTCTCTGATCACCGCTCTCATTGCTTCGGGGCCTTTTGAGGGCCTGCTGGGCCACTTTTTCGCTCAGTGGGGGCTTCCTTAGGCAGGGGCCGTCCAGGCCGTCTATGGGCTCTCTTGGGGCTCTCTTGGGCCGTCTTGGGGCGAAACCGGAGGCCTTCTAGGCTGTTTTGGACGCTGCTGAGACCCGAACAGCGACTGTGTTGAAAATGCACGTTGTCCTAAGGAAACGAAAGGATTTTTCGCATTCTGGGAGCCCTGTTGAGGGCCTCCTGGGCCGTCTTGGAGGCCCTCTGGGTCCTTCTTGGAGCGCTCTTGTGCTGTCGTGGGTCTCTCTTCGGCCTTTCTGATCACCGCTCTGATCGCTTCGGGGCCTGCTGGCAGGACCCGGTTAAGCGCCCTGGGAGGTCTGAGACGAGCTGGGGGGCCTTTGGCAAGGATGTCAAAAGGGGCCCAGGAACCCGCGATCCTCGGGGTCCAGTCTGGTGGGGGGAGAAGGTTTCCCCCCCGGCTTGTAAACATATAAGAAGAGGAATGCATACATCTATATGTATATATATTTATATATCTAGATGTATAGATGTATATATGTATATAGGTATATATGTATATGTGTATGCATATATATATATATAAAAATGTCGGGCGCCACGGCTGTTCCAGAGCTTCTAGAGCGCTCCGCGTGACAAGTTCAGGGCGGAGATCATTATTACTGTAAGGGCATTGGACAAGGCACCCTCAGAGAAGGCATCCAGGGTTTGGCTTGGCCAGGGACATCACCGCCGCCCTCATCAGATAAGGAACCCTCCAGGGTCTGAAGCCTCCGCAGCACAATTATTAACAAACGCCCCATTCTAGTTTCGGCCTCTGGGTGCCCTTACAATTCACCAGGACCGTCAACAAAACGACTCAAGAGGAAAAGCCAGTCCCAGGGGAAGGGGTTCAGAAGAAGGAAAAACGTCATAAACCTAAACTTTTGGTGCTCCGTGCGGATTTCTTGGAACTGCGCTCTGGACTCCCTCGCGCGCGGAGAGCGCCAAGAAATCCGCACGGAGCACCAAAAGTTTAGGTTTATGATGTTTTTTTCTTCTTCTGAACCCTTTCCCCTGGGACCGGCTTTTCCTCTTGAGTCGTTATGTTGACGGTCCTGGGGCCTTGTGAGGGCACCCAGAGGCCGAAACTACGATGGGGGCGTTCGTTAATAAATGTGCCGCGGAGGCTTTAGATCCAAAAGTTTATGCTTATGACTTTGAGGGACCCGTTTCAGGCGGCGGCGTCCGAACTCCGCGTCGGGGGGGGGGCGTCGCCCCCGCCGACAGCCCCACGTCTAACCCCCCGTCGCGGGCAGCCACCGCGCGCCGAAGGCGCTCCGAGACCCCCGCCGCGGCGCGACGACGAGGCGAGGCCGACCCGCGCAGGAGGGGGGTATGCCCCCACGCTTGTGAGGAAACCCGGAGCACAATCGCCGCGAGGCCGACCCCCGCCAGGGGGGGGCATCACCCCCCCGCGCTTGTTAGGAAACCCAGAGCCCCCCCGCCGCACCTCGAGTTGCCTGCATCGTTCTTTCTCTTCAAACATATTAAAGATAGTTGTATATTTACATATGTATGTATGTATGTATGTATGTATGTATGTATGTATGCATGCATGCATGCATGCATGCATGCATGCATGCATGCATGCATGCATATGTGTGTATGTATGTATGTATGTATGTATGTATGTATGTATATATGTATGTATGTATGTATGTATGTATATATGTATGTATGTATGTATGTATGTATGTATGTATGCATGCATGCATGCATGCATGCATGCATGGATGCATGCATGCATACATGCATGCATATGTGTGTGTATGTATGTATGTATGTATGTATGTATGTATGTATGTATGTATGTATGTATGTATGTATGTATGTATGTATGTATGTATGTATGTATGTATATATAGAGGTTATTTCTTTCCTTTCTCCCGCGGACGAATTCCATCAACTTGGTTTTCTCTCACGCGCGCGCCGTTCGCAGCGTGCGCCGAGGCCGCTGTGCAGACCCGCAGCCCCCAACCGCAGGGGGGGGTGGAGGCCGAGGCCGCGCCTCGAGCCGCCCGGCACCCGTGGAGAGCCGGCGAGGGCCGGGCTCGGAGCTTCGCCCCACGCGGCTCCCCTCGCCCTCCATCGGGTTGGCCCCGGAGGGGGTCGCTCCTCCTCCTCCTCCTCCCTCCTCCTCCCCTCCTCCTCCTCTCCTCCTCCTCCTCCTCTCCTCCTCCCTCTCTCCTCTCCTCCTCTCCTCTCCTCCTCCTCCTCCTCCTCCTCCTCCTCCTCCTCCTCCTCCCCACGCGGCACCGACCATCGCTCGGACGTCCATTTCCTGTGTTTTTTTTCGGTTTCGCGCGTGGTTGTTTCGCCAGATGATCGAGGGTGGTCCTCGATGGCCCTCGCCGAAGGATCAATGCACACGTCCGAGCGGTGCCAAGCAAAAGGGGGTCCAGCGACAAAGGGGGTGGGGCAATAGAGCTGGTGCAGGAGATTTGTGGGGTTGCAGTACATTTTGGGCGTGCAATACCTTCCGGGGCGCAGATGTATTGCTGGATTTGCGCGTGCAATACAGTAGTTGCAATACAATGCAATACAATTCTTTAGCGCCACATCTATTGCACCACCCCCTTGCAGCTGGACCCCCTTTTGGGTCGCCCAGACTTAAGCACCGCGCTCCAAACATCATCTCGAGCACCCAGAAACGTGTCGACAAACATGCCGCACGAGCGTCTCCCAGGGCCCGACACGTGAAAACCCTCGCGTTTCGGTACCCTCTTGGAGCTCGAGAAAAATATGTTCTGGTGGTCGAGGCGAAAGTATGTAGGTTGGAACATCGTCAATCTCGCCGCCGATCTTTGCCCGGGCCCCCGCCCCCGCCCGGTCCTCGCCGTCGGCGTCCAGCAGCTTGCGCCTCGGCGGCTCTGGGTGGCCCCAGTCCTGGGGAGCAGGGGGGGCCCGCGACGACAACGAGAACGACAACGAGACCGACGAGGAGGACGACAACAACGATGACGGCGAAAAGCCGTCATCGCTGATGTGGTTGCTATCGTTGCTATCGTGGTTATCGTTGTTATCGTTGCTATCGTTCTCGTTATCGTTACCGTTGGTATGGTTGTGTGTAGTGTGTGTATGCGGTGTGTGTGTGTGTGTGTGTGTCTGTGGTGTGTGTGTGTGTGTGTGGCGTGTGGTGTGTGTGTGTGTGTGTGCGTGTGTGTGTGGTTTGTGGTGCGTGGTGTGTGTGTGTGTGTGCGTGTGTGTGTGTGTGTGTGTGTGTGGTGTGTGTGTGTGGTGCGTGGTGTGTGGTGTCCTGGCCCTGGCCAGTCCTGGGCCCGCGTGCCCTCCTGGCCTGGCCGGGGAGGCCGTTCCCGGAGCTCCGGCGCCGCAGGAAGACTGCAGCACCGCAGGGGATCACAGCCCGGAGGAGGAGGAGGAGGAGGAGGAGGAGGAGGAGGAGGAGGAGGAGGAGGGAGAGGAGGGGGAGGAGGGAGGAGGAGGTGGAGGAGGAGGAGGAGGAGGAGGAGGAGGAGAAGGAGGAGAAAGAGAGGAGGAAGGAGAGGAGAGGAGGAGGAGGAGGAGGAGGAGGAGGAGGAGGAGGAGGAGGAGAGGAGGAGGTGAGAGAGGAGGAGGAGGAGGAGGAGGAGGAGGAGGAGGAGGAGAGGAGGAGGGAGGGAGGAGGAGGAGGGAGGAGGAGAGGAGGAGGATGAGAAGGAGGAGGGAGAGGAGGAGGAGGAGGGGAGGAGGAGGAGGAGGAGGAGGAGGAGGAGGAGAGGAGAGAGGAGAGGAGAGGAGGAAGAGGAGGGGGAGGGGAGGAGGAGGAGGAGGAGGAGGAGGAGGGGAGGAGGAGGAGGAGGGGAAGTAGGAGGAGGAGGAGGAGGAGGAGGAGGAGGAGGAGGAGGAGGATGAGACGAAGGAGGAGGAGGAGGAGGATGAGGAGGAGGCTTCCGTACAACAAAGACAACACGCTGGCGAATTCCCAGCGGGGGCTCGTCATTGCTACTCCTTCCTTCTCCCGAAAAATCACAAACGGATCCCTGGACCACATCTTTCTGCAGCCTTTTTTCGAATTGGATCGATCCGTGATGGTCCCGGGGCCCGAAACCGGGCGAGTACGCCCGCTGTGAACAAAAATGCAACGCCAGGATCTCGGGGGAGGCATTGACACACCAGTCCTGGTCCCAGGATGGGCCTGGTCGGGTCCGGAGCATGTGCACAGCCATCCTCGCCCGAGGTCCTTCTGGAGCAGCGGCTTCAGCCGCGAGTTGTCGAAATGCGACCACGCAGCGTGCAGTTTCGCGCGCATTCTGTAGTGGTGCGAGGCCTCCGCGGAGGACTCGAGGAACGAGTGCGAGATGCCGTGGGGGAGAGACGCGCCCAACGCCTGGATGCCGAGGCGCCTCATGTTTTGTTTGTTTTTTGATTTTTGTTTGTTGTTGTTGTTTTTTTTTTTTTTTTGTATTGTGTGTGTATTTGTGCGTGTGTGTGTGTGTGTGTTTGTTTGTTTACTCGGCGGCGCGAGCGCAGGGGGGAAGTGAGAGGGGGCGGGACTGCTCAGAAGGCTCGGAACCCCCCTCAGCCTTCTGAGAAGTTTTCTAAGCCTTCCCCGAAGTTGCAGAGAACCTCCCAGAAGGCCAGAGGCCTCGTGAGAGGCCCCGCAACCTTCTGAGAAGGCCTTCTGCTTCTCACTTCCTCCCCCCGCTCGCCGCCGATGTTTCTTCGTCTTGGATGCTGAGGCGCCGCATGACCACGGGAAACAGCCCCCCGAACACGAGGCAGTTCAGCAGCACGATGCCCAGGACGGTGGACACCATCACCACCTGCTGCGGCGACTGCTGCCCAGCGGGCGGCACCGCCTTCAAGATGAGCGCGTAGGCGATCGCCCCGCGCATGCAACCGGCCATCATGATCACCGCCATGTGGTTCCACCTGGGCGACGAGAAGAGACGGGTCCTACGCGAGATCGCATCGCGACGCCGCGGCCTTACGCCGCAACCTACGCGGGCCGCCAGCGCGGCACGCCGCACTGGAGCCGAGGGCGCTTGCGCGCGAGCTTGCGCGGGCAGCTCGCGCGCCAACGTCGGTGAGGACGAAGCCGTTCTCCTTCGTCGCCCACCTTAGGGACAGGTGGTGGATCCTGACGACCCGGAGCAGGACCGAGATCGTCAGCACGGTCAGGGCTCGCGACAGCACGATCAGCAGGGAGTAGAAGAGGATCAGCGTGGGCGAGAACTGGCTCGGCTCCATCAGGTAGCCCACCGCGGTCATGCCGAAGTAGCCGAACACGAAGGCCTCGGCGCAGTACGCCAGGAACTCCGAGATCTGGTCCGCAAACTCCTGGGCCTCCTCCGACAGCGACGTCTGCGCGTAATGCCCACAGAGCAGCGAGCAAACGAAGAGAGCGAATATGGACGAGAATTCGCACATCTCCGTGAGCACGTAGCATATGTAGTTGAGGAGAAGCATGAGTGCGCATGGGTGCACGACTTCCTCGTGCAACCACTGGCTGTGTTTGAATACGTACGAGACAGAGAAACCAAATGACACACCCATGAAGGAGGATGTGACGAGGTAGTAGGCTATTGTGACGGTTATATCCACGATGGAGGGAAGCGCGTCCGAGTTTGTGACAGAGGTGCTCAGGAGGATAGCCACTACATCGTTGAGCACCCCCTCGCCGAAGACTATCGCGAAGAGGCGCGGATACATGTCCTTGGGCAGGAACGCGATCGGTGCCACGGAATCTGTAGAGGACAACACGGAGGCCATCACGAGTCGTTCCTGCACAGAGAGCTGGATATCACCACCCTGGAAAGTCTTGAAGACACCTGGGAACACATCGTTCAGCCCCGAGCAGACGAATATCAGCATGAAGATGATCACCGTGCCGACAAGGCCCAAGGCAGCGATCGGTGCGACATACCAGAAAAACCTCTTCTTCTCCAGATTGAATCCGGCGTCGAATATCACCATCGGCAAAACGAAATAGCTGAACACGTCATCCGGCAGCGTGCCCCTGTGGCACGAGGTGGGGTGTCCCCTGGTTCCCCTGCTCCATTCCCCGGAGCCTCGGCCCTCAGTCCAGGGGATGTCTGAGGCGCCCGGGCCCCAGACTCACAGACCTCCTGGGGCTCCCCGCGTCTTGTCGCGCGACTTTGTCGGGGCCCCAAGACGGGCCAAGAGAGCCCCGAGTTGCCCCCAGGATGGCCCAAGAGGGCCCCTAGTGGCTGGAAGATCGCTCCAAGACGGCCCCTGAGACTGCCAAAGAGGCCGCCCAAACGCTCGAAGAGAGCTCCACGAGGCGTCCTCCAGGAGGGCCCCTAAGAGGCCAGCCCCGACTCCGCTGGACCTCCCAGGAGCTAACCAAAGTGGCCTTCGCAACATTCCCAGGAGCAGCGAGGTCTCAAACGAGTGCGCGTGGCCTCCGTCTCCGCTGGATCCCAGGAGCCCGCGACAGAAGTGACACATGCTCTTTCCGCAGCTACCCAAGGAGCAGCGAGGTCTCGTCTTGGTGCGCGTGGCCCCCAGATTCCGCTAACCTCCCAGGAGCCCACGAAAGTGGTGACAATTGCGCAGTTCACAGCCACCCAGGGAGCAGCGAAGCCTCTGCTGGGTGCGCGTGGCCCCCGACTCCGCTGGACCTCCCAGGAGATCGCGAAAGTTGCGACAAGGAGCAGCGAGGTCTCGTCTGGGTGCGCGTGGCACCCGCAGCCTGCCAGGGAACAGCGAAGCCTCGGCTGGGTGCGCGTGGCCCCCGACTCCACCGTGCCTCCAAGGAGCCCACGAAAGCGGCGACAGTTGCGGAGTGCGTAGGCACCCAGGGAGCTGCGAGGTCTCAAACGCGTGCGCGCGGCCCCCGACTCCGCTGGACCTCCCAGGAGCCCACGAAGGTGGCGCCAGGCGCGCAGCTCGCAGACAACAAGGGAGCAACGAAGCCTCGGCTGGGTGCGCGTGGCCCCCGGCCCCCGCCGTGCCTTCGAGCAGCCCACGAAAATAGCGATACTTGCACAGGTCGCAGCCGCACAAGGAGCGGTGAAGCCGCGGCTGGGTGCGCGTGGCCCCCGACTCCGCTGGACCTCCCAGGAGCCAACGAAAGTGGCGGCAGTTGCGCAGGTCGCAACCACCCAGGGAGCTGCGAGGTCTCAAATGGGTGCGCGTGGCCCCCGACTCCTCCGTGCCTCCCAGGAGCCCACGAAAGTGGCGCCAGGTGCACAGTTCGCAGCCACCCACAGAGCAACGCGGTCTCGGGTGTGCCGCGCACTCCGCTACTCCGCCGTGCCTCCCAGGAGAATATGTGGTGCAATATGTATGCGATGCAACCTATTTGATCCAGCTTATGTAGTGCCATCTGCGTGGCACGATGTATGCGGTGCAAGATATGTGTGGTGCAATATGTTCGATGCAACATGTGTTATACAATCTATATATCTACACACATATATATATATATATATGCGATGCAAACTACGTGGTGCAACGTATTCGATGCAAACTGTGTAATTCAGTGCAATGTATGCGATGTAACCAATGTAGAGCAATCTATGTATGGTGCAATGTATGCGATGGAACCTATGTGATGCAATCCGTGCGATGCAATATGTGTGGTGCAACGTATGCGATGCAACCTATGCGCTGTCGTCTACGCGGTGCAGTCTATGCGGTGCAATGTATGTAATGCAACCTGTGTAATGCAATCTATGCGGTGCAATGTATTCGATGCGGCGACGGCGACGGGCGGCACGGGCGGCGACGGGCGGAAATGGCGGCGACGGGCGGCGACGGCGACGGGTGGCGACGGGCGGCCGACGGGGATGGCAGCGACGGGCGGCGACGGCGACGGGCGGCGACGGGCGGCGACGGGCGGGGATGGCAGCGACGGGCGGCGACGGCGACAGGCGGCGACGGGCGGCACTGCGGCGATTTTGCGGGGAGGGTCCCGAGATGGTTAACGCAAGTGAGAACCCCTAAGTGCAAGCACCTGTTTGGGGAAACACCATTTTCCATATCAGACTCTTCCTGGGGCGCCTGCTGTCGCGGCTGGACCCCTCGCCCAACGTCGGGAGCGCCTAGATGGCGAATCACCCTGGAACCGTTTCAAAGTGAAAATCCATCTGGGACCCCCCAGTGCAACAACAAAAACGCTCTCGGGGACAAGCAGGGGGGTGCATCCGAGCCCCCCAAAATCGTCATTCTCCAAATGAGCTCTCTTATTGGGGAACCCTTTTCTCGCGGAGCCGTTCAAAATCCACCTGGGACACCCGTGCAAAACAAGAAAACGCTCTCGGGGATAAGCGAGGGGGAGTGCCCGAGCCCGCCCAAATCGTCATTTTCCACATCAGATCTCTTTTTGGGGAGCCTTCCCTCGCGGCTGGCCCACCCCCGCCCAACCTCGGGAACGCCCAGACGGATTTTCACCCCGGGAACCGTTCCAGGGCGAAAATCTGTCTGAGGCCCGCCAGTGCAACAGAACAGCGCTCTCGGGGGCAAGGGGCGGGGGCGTGCCCGAGCCCCCCAAGCCGTCATATTCCATGCAACATCTCTTCTTGGGGAACCTTTTCTCGCGGCTGGCCCCCCGCCCAACTGCGTGAGCGCCCAGATGGATTTTCACCTCGGAGCCGTTCCAGGGTGAAAGTCCATTTGGGCCCCACAGTGCAACAAAACAACGCTCTCGGGGACAAGCGGAGGGGTGTACCCGAGTCCCCAACATGCCATTTTCCATAACAAATATATTGTTGGACAGCCTTTTCTCGCGGCTGGCCCCCCCGCCCAACGTCGGGAACGCCCAAATAGATTTTCACACCCGAGCCGTTCCAGGGTGAAAATCCGTCTGGGACCACCCAATGTTTAGAAAACGCTCTCGGGGACAAGCGGTGGGGTGTACCTGAGCACCCCAAATTGATATTTTCCATATCACCTCTCTCCTTGGGGAACCTTTTCTCGCGGCCGGGCCCACCCCCGCCCAATACCGGAAGCGCGTGGATGGATTTTCACCCGGATCCGTTCCAGGGTGAAAAACCATCTGGGACCCCTCATGAGAAAAACGCTCTCGGGGACAAGCGGGGTGATGCACCCGAGCCCCCCCAAAAATGTAATTTTCCGTGTGAAATCTTGTATTGAGAACCTTTTCTCGCGGCTGGGCCCCCCGCCCAACGTCTGGAGCGCCCAGATGGAGTTTCACCCCGGAATCGTTCCAGGGAGACAAAACCATCTGGGACCCCCGAGAGCAAAACACAAAACGCTCTCGGGGACAAGTGGGGGTGTGCACCCCAGCCCCAACAATATTGATTTTCCATGTCAAATCTCTTATTGGAAAGCCTTTTCTCGCGGCTGGCCCCCCCACCCAATCTCGGGAACGCCCCAAATGGTTTTTCACCCCGGAACCGTTCCAGGGTGAAAATCCATCTGGGACCCCTCCACTGCAACAAAACAATATCGGGGGCAAGCTATCAGGGGCCTCATGAGGAGCCCCATCTGGGGCTTCTGTAAGGAGCCCAACAAGGGCATCTGTAAGGAGCCCAATAACTGAGCATTTTCTTAGGGTGGAGGGCTCAGGGTGAAATACATAGGGGCTTCTGCACCTCGAAAATCAATCCGTCCTGTGATTCACCTCTTGCAGGTTCAAGCCTCGAGATCCATCGAAACGGCATTTCAGATTTCACCCTTTGCCCTCCACCCAAAGAAAATGCTCGGAATGAGGGCATCTTTGAGGAGCCCAATCAAGGCATCTGTAAGGAGCCCACTAAGGCCGTACGTAAGGAGCCCAAGGGGACCTTCTGTAAGGAGCGCAATCAGGCCTTTTGCAAGGATCTCAATAACGCTCTCTTGGGGAGGAAATCTCCTGAAAGGGGTCCCTGATGAGTTTTCACCCCGGAACGGTTCCAGGGTGAGTCTGGAACTGGAAACGTTGAGTGTCAGGGTGTCAGAATCACCCCAGAACTGTTCCAAGTGATCCTGGAACCTTGCTCCCAGGAGCCCACGAAAGCGGCGACAGTTGCACATTTCGCAGCCACCCAGGCAGCTGCGAGGTTTCGCGTGGTCGGTTTACTCCCCGACTCCGCCGTGCCTCCCGTGAGCCAGCAAAAGTGGTGACAGTTGCACAAGTCGCAGCCCCCCCGGGCAGCTGCGAAGTTTCAACTGGTCCGTTCACTCCTCGGCTCCGCAGTGCCTCCCGGGAGCCCACGAAGGTGGCGACAGCTGCACAGTTCGCAGCCACCCAGCGAGCTGCGAGGTCTCAAATGGTCCGTTTGCTCCCCGGCTCCGCCGTGCCTGCCAGGAGCCCACGAACGTGGCGACAGTTACGCAGCTCGCAATCACCCAAAGAGCCGCGAGGTCTCACATGGTCCGTTTACTCCCCCACTCCGCCGTGCCCCACAGGAGCCCACGAGAGTGGCGACAGCTGCACAGTTCACAGCCACCCAGGGAGCAGCGCAGGAGGAGGCAGGAAGAGGAGGGAGGAGGAGGAGGGGGGTGAAGGAGAAGCTGTGCGACCACAGTGCTTTACTCAAAGCGAGGACCCAAACACAGGAGGGTTGAGGCAATTATTCGCGGGTTCTCCACTTTTCGAGCTTCCGACGCTCCAACACGTCCCAAGAGGCCCCCCCCCATACCGCCCCAAAACGGTCTCAGAGGCGGGCCCAAAGACGGCCCAAGAGGGCTCCAAGACTGCCCAAGAGGCGCGCCAGAGGGCCCCAAGACTGCCTCTACGGGGGACCCAAGAGTGCCCAAGAGGCGCCCAGGAGGCCCCAAGCGGCCCCCACGAGGCCCCAAGCGGCCCCCAGAAGGCCCCCAAGAAGCCCCCAAGGGGCACCCAACAAGACCCAAGAGGGCCCCCAGAGGCTCAACAGAGGCCACAGACCAGGCCCCCCAGAGGCCTCAAAACTGCCTCCGGGAGGTCTCAGGGAGGCCTCGACGAGATCCCAACGCACATCCAAGAGGCCTCAAACCCACAGCGCAGGCACGGTGGCGGGATGGGCCGAAGGCCATTGGATCCGCCGCCCCCTGCTTGCAGGGGTGCACGGCGTGCTGGACGATTCAGGTTTTGGTTTTGGTTCTTTTTCTAAAAGAACTCCCCAGTGGGCTTCGGCCCGTCCCGCCGGCCACCCGTAAATCTCACAAAACCCATCTGTCAATGCCCAAAAACGGCCGTTTCGCTCGGGACATCCTCAAAAAATCGCGAAGATGGCCCAAGATGGCCTCCAAGTCCGCCCGAGATGGTCCAAGACGGCCTCCAAAACGGCCCAAGAGAGTCCAAGACGGCCCAAGACGGCCCAAGAGGCCCCCCAGAGGCCTCCCAGACGGCCCAAGAGGCCTCCAAGAGGTCCTCCAGGAGAGTCCGAAGAGGCCAAAATCATTGATTTTCCCTTGGTTTTTGAAGGATTTTGGCATTTGCGCCTTTTCGGCTCTCCGACGGCTCAAGACGGCCCAAGAAGCCCCCAAGATCGCCCAAGAGGCCCCCAAGAGAGCCCCATGATGGCCCAAGTGGCCTCCAAGATGGCCCCTAGAGGGCCCCAAGAGGGCCCACGAGGCCTCCAACACGCCCAAGATGGCCTCCAAGACGCCCAAGATGGCCTCCAAGACGGCCCTGGAGCATTCCAAGCGGGCCCCAAGTCGGCCCATAGAGGCCCCCCAAACGGCTTCCGACGGCTTCAGACGTGCCAGGAACCCACCAAGATGGCCGAAGTTGGCTCGAAGCTGGCCCGAGACGGCCCAAAAAGCCCCAAAGATCGCCCAAAGCTTGCCCAAGAGGCCTCCAAGACGGCCAAGATGACCTTCAAGATGCCCACGTGTTCCCCGAAGGCTTTCCAAACCGATTCGGGGAACACGTGGTCCGATAGCTTGGCAGGTCTGGCCTCAACGTTCGGCCACATAGGCGCTTCCAAAAAGGCAGGGGGCGGCGGTGATTCGCCGTAGGCGTCTTCGATCCGCCGCCCCCTGTCGATTCATCGCAGGGGTGCCTGGCGTGCTAGATCCTCTCGGTTTGGTTTTGGTTCTTTTTTCCAAAAAGAAATCCCCCTGGGGCTTCGGCCCGTCCCGCCGGGGTCCCGGATTCCTTACTTTTCTGCCCAGGACGGCTCCAAGATGGATAAGATGGCCCAAGATGGCCTCCAAGATGGTCCAAGATGGCCTCCAAGTCCGCCCAAGATGGTCCAAGACGGCCTCCAAGACGGCCCAAGAGAGTCCAAGACGGCCCCAGACGGGCCAAGAGGCCCCCCAGAGGCCTCCCAGACGGCCCAAGAGGCCTCCAAGAGGTCCTCCAGGAGGGCCCGAAGAGGCCAAACTCATTGATTTTCCTTAGGTTTTGGAAGGATTTTGGAATTTGCTTCTTCTCGGCATTCCGACGGCTCAAGACGGCCCAAGAGGCCCCCAAGATCGCCCAAGAGGCCCCTAAGAGGGTCCTATGACGGCCCAAGTGGCCCCCAAGACGGCCCCAAGAGGACCCAAGACGGCTCAAGAGGCCTCCAACACGCCCAAGATAACCTCCAAGACGCCCAAGATGGCCTCCAAGACGGCCCCGAACCGCCCCAAGAGGGCCTCCCGTTGGCCCAGAAAAGGCACCCAAGACGGCTCCCGACGGCGTCAGGCGTGCCAGGAACCCACCAAGATGGCCGAAGTTGGCTCGAAGCTGGCCCAAGACGGCCCCCAGGAAGGCCAGAAGAGGCCAACAAACTAGATGTTCCAATGGTTTTTTGACGGATTTGACATTTCCTTCTTTTCGGCCTTCCGACGGCCCGAGACGGCCCAAGAGCTAACAAAGATCGCCGAAAGATCGCCCAAGAGGCCTCCAAGATGGCCCCAGAACGGCCCAAGAGGGCTCCAAGACGGCCCCAATAGGCACCCAAAACGGGCCCAATAGGCCTCTAAGACGCCCAAGATGGCATCCAAGACTGCCCTGGAGCATTCCAAGAGGGCCCCAAGTCGGCCCATAGAGGCCCCCCCAACGGCTTCCCACGGCGTCAGACGGACCAGGAGCCCACCAAGACGGCCGAACATGGCCCTAAGATGGCCCAAGACGGCCCAAGAGACCTCCAAGAGGGCTTCCAGGAAGGCCCGAAAAGGCCAAAATCATTGATTTCCGATGGTTTTTGAAAGATTGTGGCCTTTGCTCGTTTTCTGCCTTCCGACGGCCCGAGACGGCCCAAGTGCCCCCAAGACACGGCCCCAAGAGGCCCCCAAGACGGCCCAAGATGACCTCCAAGACGCTCAAGATGGCCTCCAAGACAGTCCAAGAGCCCTCCAAGACGTCCTCCAAGAAGGCCCGAAAGGGTCAAAATGGCCTCCAGACTGCCAAGATGACCTTCAAGATGCCCACGTTTTCCCCGAAGGCTTTCCAAACCGATTCGGGGAACACATAGTCCGATAGCTTGGCAGGTCTGGCCTCAACGTTCGGCCACATAGGCACTTCCAAAAAGGCAGGGGGCGGCGGTGATTCGCCGTAGGCGTCTTACCACAAGAGTGCACGGCGTGCCGAATGTCTGGCAAGTTCTTGGTTCTTTTCTAACGAACTCCCCGTGGGATCTCGGCAAAGGCTGCTGGCCACCTGGAAGGCCAGTGAAAATCCACCCCTCGCTGGTCACATTGCCTCCAACATGGCTAAGATGCTCCAAGATGCCCCCAAGACGGCCAAGATGGTCCAAAGAGTCCCGAACAGATCCCCAAGATGGCCTCCAAGACGGTCCCAAGATACCTCCATGACCGCCATGATGGTCCAAGAGAGCCCAAGACGGCCACAGAAGCGCCCAAGAGGCCCCTAACACGGCCCATGATGCCTCCAAGGGTTCCCCCAGGAAGGCCCGAAGAGGCCTAAATCATTGATTTACACTCGGTTTTTGAATCAGATTTTTGCATTTGTTTTGAAACGGCCTTCCGATGACCCAAGAGGCCACCAAGATCCCCCCACGATCGCCCCAGAGGCCTCCAAGATGGCCCCAGGACGGCTCACGAGGCTCCCAAGACGGCCCCAAAAGGGCCCCAAGACGGCCCAACGGCCCAAAGAGGCTCCCAAGACGGCTTCCGACGGTGAGACGGGCCAGGAACGCCGTAAGACGGCCAAAGAGTCCCCAAGAAGCTCCCAAAGGCCCCATGGAGGCCCAAGGAGGTACCCAATATGCCTCCAAGCGGCCCCCAGGAAGCTTCCAGGAGGCCCCAAGAATGACCCCAGAAGCTCCCAAAAGGTTTTCTCGTTTCTTCTCCTCATCCTCCGTCTTCCTCCTCTTCCTCCCCTACGTGTTCCCCGAAGGGCTTCCACGACGGCTGGGGGGACGCATGTTCCAATAGCGCGGCCAATTTTTTTGCCCAAGCGTTGGGCCACATAGGCGTATCCTGGAAAGGCCAGGGGGGCGGCGATGATTCGCCGTAGGCGCCTCCGATAACTGAAGACGGGAGCCTTGCCATCGATGTAGTACGTAACGAAGCCCAGAACTAGGCCGACGAGCACGGTCACCGTCGTCTCGTGCACCCCGTGCACGTGCTCGAATCGGAAGCTCCAGACCATGTAGACGATGAGCAGCAGCGAGACGAACAGACTGGTACGGCCCAACGGTCGGTCTGGGCAGCTCCGATGGCCAGGAGGGCCCCGAGGGGGCACCCAAGCAGGCCCTCCGGAGGCCAAGCGACCGGAGTGCAGCACCGCTGCCTTCAGGGGGGGCCTCTTGCCGACTTCTGGAACCCTGGGGTCCGCCGGCTCTGACCTCTCCTGGGAAGCCCTCCTCGGGACAACGCCAACCTTCACCTTCCAACAGACACAGGTACATCCGCCGGCGGCCGCCTCCCTCCCCGCCAGCCTCCGCCGTCAGACGTCGCACGCGTCTCTCCTCCGCCGGCGTCCTTCCGCCGAGGTCGCGCAAACGAAGCTGTTTGAGGGCTGTCCCCAAACAGCGGATGCTGTAAAGGGTAGGATATGATGATTCAGGAGAACCAGTTCTGGCCATCGTCCGGACGTCCATTCCGCGTGCACGTGTCGATGTCGTGCGCTTTTTTGTTTGTCCGTTTTTCGATGCGATGCTCAAGACCCTCCTCGGTGGCCCTGGCCGAGAAAAAAAGGCACATGCCCGAGCTGTGCCAAGACCTGCCAAGGCACGAGATGCGAAGACGTGTGCCGCTCGCGCGCTTTCTGCCGTGCACGGTGCCGTGCCCGCGTGTCGTGGCGCGCGTGCCGTGCCCAAGTCGCAGGACGAGGAAACGCGTGCCGTGCCGTACCCGCGCGCCTTGCGCAGATGCTAGAATTAGGTCGGGCGCGTCCTCCCACAAGGGGGTTTTGGACGAAAAGTAAAACATACCCGACAAATGCGCCCAAAGGGCCAAACACGATAGAGAAGTCGTCCCCTGACAATTTGTTTGGCAATTTTTGGGACCCTCCTCCTGCAGAGGGACACGCCCGACTGCACTTCTGGAGTGCGAGAGGCGCGTGCTGCGCCGTGGCGTGCCCAAGCTGTAGGTTGCGATGCGTGTGCCTGGCCGTGGCGTGCCGTGCCCGTGCCTGCCGCGCCGTGCCTGGGCGCCGCGCCGTGCCTGGACTTTGAAAATTCGAGCAGCCTGCCGTGCCGTGCCGT